GACATTTAAAAAATAACAGGCAGTAATCCTTGCACTATAGCAATTTTATGGTGTTCAAAATGTAGAGTTCTTTAAGAAGGGAATTTTAAGGTTAGAAAAAAGACTTGTAATGAGAATGTAATAGAATTTTAAGAGTTTTAAGCGTGAAGGTGACTATTTCTAAAGTGAAAATAATATTTTATAAGAATCACCTGAAGCATACGCTTTTCAACTATTCTTAGCCAGTGCTTGATTACTATCCCTCATGCTAGTAAGTGGCGGTGCCACATAAGATCATAAAAATGCGCAAGTTTAACAACAATATTTAAATTATTACTCAATACATTTTGAATACTCGTGTCTACAATCCATTAGACTATATTTAAAATCAATAAAAAGTGTATCATGCCATAATGTGTTATATTTCCAAAATCAGAGTGGACAGGGCTGCTCTATGACAAACACTGGTTTAGCTTGGATTGAGCGTTAAGGATGATACAGGTATTAAAATCTCTTTATAGGAGAACTCTAGTGCTTGTGTCAGGATCAACACGGACTGGTTTGGCTCTCAACCTTTTACCTCAAACTTTAACAGTCGAAGACTTTGGGATAAGAATTAATTGCGTTGGCCGTCTTATGCCATTTATACGCCACATCAAGTCATAATAGAGTCGTAGGTGAGCAAGATACATATGATGGTAACATTGATGAACGTAACATTAAAAGAAAAAAGAATGCAAGTAAGACGAAAATATTGGTTTTTGAAAGAGAAGAAAGTAAAATGATAATATGTGAAATAAAATAGAAGTGAAGTATCCATCTCCATATCCGTCTAAGCTTGTTTAGCAGGGATGGTAGCTGAGAATAATTGGTCCTCTACTCTACTGTGTGAAGTCAGAATGTGTCAAAAAAGGCACGTATGGCAATTTACAATACTTGTGGCAGAAGAAGCATAAGACCAAAATTAATGCTGTAAAAATACGGTCAATAAGAAGTATGTAAGGTTGACTGATAAGGTGAGTTAAGTGTGACACAACATAAGATTCATTTTACTAAGTACAATTTCGTTACGAAAATTCGCTTCCATTCCGTTCCGCAGCAATGTAAATTGAGCCTCATGTATATAAAAGAATACTGATAGTTTACCTGAATTAATGGGATAATGAGCTATATCAGGCTTTAATCTGTAACGTACAAAATCTAAAAAGTCATTGTGATGGCACTTTATTCGCTTAAACTCTTACTTATTGTCGCACCGGGGTAATAGAGTGACAATGAGACACCATTGTCTTCGATATTCAGCTTTTTATTACAATCGTACGTAGTTTTGTCGGGTGGTGCGAATTTTTCCGCGATGCTACGCTCCGACGCATGCACTTTCCATCTCAATCACATTCGGCAAGCTATTATCTTTGGCCTACTGCCACAAATGGTTATACCGATAAGATCGCATTTTAAGCTTATGCTTCCTGCATTGAATTTCCTTTCGTTACATTTTTTTATTTAGGAAATATAATATATTTCAAATGAAATATTTTAATTAATAATAAGATATTCAACCTAAGAGGGGGCTAACGAGGAGATTAGTGCAAACGATATTCAAAGGCAGCAGTTTGTCGCGGGCAATCCCTGCCCCTGCATAGCAATAAGTCGCGCACCTAGTGACCCGACGTATGTGGAGCGGAAACGCATTGCTGTGGAGAATAAAGATTCATTATACTCGAGTTGATCGAATTATAATGATAGTAAGACATCAAAAGTTGACATTGAAACTAAGTTGTGAGTACTTTCATGTAAGAGTTTTCTAATGGGGAAACAAATAATAAACTTTCTTATTGTGCCATGACTTTGACAAGGTACTTGACTAACACTCATGTCAATTGACATACTTTTTTATGGTGGCAAATTTTCTAAAGATATTGTATGAAAATACTATTTAATTACGCCATAGTTTCTTAGTGTTCTAAAACGCAAACCAACTTCAAGGAAACAATTCAACTTCAACCTCAGTTTCAAGGCACTCCCCTTGTTGCCTCAGCCAGTATCGGAATCCTCGGCGTCGACATATCGAGTGACGAGCAGTTTCGTGGTCACTTGGAAGAGAAGGCCAAATTGGTCTCTAAAAAGCTTGGCGTGCTCAGCAGAGCGGGACAGTATTTCATGCCGGCACACCGCCTGCGACTTTACAAGGCGCAGGTTCGGCCTCACATGGAATACTGTTCCCATCTCTGGGCTGGGGCTCCCCAGTACCAGCTCCTTCCACTTTACCGCATCCAGCGCAGAGCGGCTCGAATCGTCGACGACCGAGTGCTTTCCGATCGGCTCGATTCACTGGCACTGCGAAGAGATGTTGCATCTCTTTGCATTTTCTTTCGCATATACCATGGAGAGTGCTCTGAGGAATTGTTCGGATTAATCCCAGCCGCCAAATTTCGTGAACGCACTACGCGGCAAACGTCCCGATACCATCCACACCATCTGGATGCTTGGCGGCCCACCACTGTACGTTTCAAGAGGAGTTTTCTTCCGCGTACAACCTGTCTTTGGAATAGTTTACCATCAGCGATTTTCCCGGACCGATACGACCTGGGGACCTTCAAGAAAAGAGCGTACTCCTTTCTAAAGGGTCGGCAACGCACCTGTAATTCCCCTGATGTTGCGTTTGATCATGGGCGGCGGTAGTCACTTAACATCAGGTGAGCCGCATGCTCGTTTGCCCCCTCTTCTATAAAAAAAACTTACTTTTAAGAACTATATGACTTTATCATCATCATCATTATAGGAGTTTGGGCTCTTCATCGTTATCATTGCAGCCCTTCACTAGTCCACTGCTAAATGTAGGTCATTACCAAACAATGCCACAATACACGAGGTCCTGAGCAAGCTGCATCCATCGACAAATTACTAATTCTTTTAACTTTATTTACAAAAGATAGTTATTTAAGTTTTCCACTACCCAGTTGTACTTTTTCTGCCAGCGTTATCTACCTGCTGGATATAGAACCTTTCAAGAACGCGCATATAGTGGACTAGTATATTATGAAAGATTTAAGCCATGTAAGACAAGCCTAATGGTGAGCAAATTACCTACACTCTAATGATGCTATTCTCTGTATTAGTAAGTTGACATACAAAAATAAAAAAATATTTAATTCGTTATTTAAATATTTATTTATTTGTTTAAAAAAGAACCATCAACGTTTGTTTTACACATTGTACAATTTTAATCTACTTTCTTAGATAGAATATTCCTTTGTACCACAAACCACTAATGATTATTACAACATTTTTTTTTGATTCATTACAGGCCTTCACAAGTCCACTGCTGAACATGGGCCTATTACAACATACGCCAGAAAAAATATATCGAAATGATTAATACAAATAGTACAAGTTATCCAGACGGTTCTGGAAAATGAAGGCTTTAAAATAACTACAACTTAATCAATTAAATGCGCTTTATGTACAATTAGTTGTCATTGTAGGAGCCTATTAGGGCGATTTGAAATTTATATCGAATTTAAAAGAAAACGGGAGCTAAAAAGGATATCTCATAACTCTGTTAGTTCCGTAAGTTATTACTATATTTACTTTCTAAACTTTAGCATAGCATCATTTTTTGTTTATATCCAGATTTGAGTGTTAGGTAATTTTACTATGTTTTTTTAAAATATTGTACTCGTATATATTTGAATTTTATGTAAATAAATGAAATTAATTTATAAATTGAAATTGATTTTTTTTAAATATTTATATATATATAGTCAATTTATAAAAACACAAAAATGTTTCTACCTATGTCCCTTGAAACCATCTTTAAAACCATCTAACCAAAGTGCCTCAGACCGGGTTTTATTAGAAAGGAAATAATGCGAAGATGGTTTTAGACCACTAAAACAATGCATTAGGCACTATATAAAAACAAACATTAAAAAATTTCCTTTTTTTCAAGAAATAAACAAAATGAATTTAATTTTTAGCGTAGAAGCACACGCCGGATATCCGCAAGTTATCAATATTTTATTATTGAATAAAACTATTATTTACGGATTTACTTTAATTTATTTTTATTATTATCCCGACGTTTCGGGTGCTTTACAGCACCCATGGTCACGGGGGGGACTAAGATGTTTGACGTCCCAATGTCATAGTTAGTCCGGCTACCTTCAGTTTCTTTTTAATATTAATTTTTTTTTGGTCCGATTTACGCAAAACGAGCTTATAGTATCATGAAGTCTTGCAATGGTATGCTTGGGTTTTGGTTTAATTTTGTTAATTATAGGATCCCAAGCAGATGGTAGCACCCAACCATCTTCTCTATTGAAATTTGGATGTTTTTTAATTTCAATAGCCTCGCGTATCATCCTTGGTAGGAATCGGTGTTCTTTTGCGAGAATTTGTGGTTTATCAAATCTAAGGTAATGGTGGGGACGATCTTGAACATGTTCGCAGACTGCAGTCTTCTTTCTTCTTTAAATAATAGTTTTATTCAATGTGTAGTGTTCGCGTAAATTTAAAGAAATCAATATTTTATTATTTTGTGCACAAAATATTCGTCCATCCTTAGTTACTAAAAGTCTTACAAACATCTTATAACGGCTGTAAAGTAAGCAGTATAATTATATAACATTTTTTTTGGTCAGCAGAATCTTCCTAATAATAAGTAACCCAAAATAATAAAATGCTGCGGCTGCTACCCCCTCTATCTAGCTGGTGACTATGATAAAATCCCCCCTATGTGGCAATATGGTGGAGGCCTATATTCAGCAATGGTCTTTGTACACTCTACTGAATGGATGGATAGATAAACACCTTATTCCAATGCCATAAGTTGTCACTTTCTACTTTCCCATCATATGGTAAGTGGTGTTATAACGCATAAACAGTTTATACAAGACCACTGTAAAATTATCAAGCTGAAATAATGTTGAATAATGGAAATGGATTATGACTTTAGAAAGCGTTTCATGCATATGTTTCTCAGATAATACTATTAAATCTTATCTTTCCTGTACCTGCAGTACTGAACGTAGCCGCCGGGAAGGCGCCTATGCAGATCTCTACGGAGGACGGTGGGGCTCCACAACGCGCGCTTGACGGCAGCACCTCTGCAGCATTCAACTCTGAAACCTGCACACTGACAAAGTCAGAACGTGTACCTTGGTGGTACGTCAACTTACTGGAACCTTACATGGTGCAGCTCGTTAGACTTGACTTCGGAAAACCGTGTTGTGGTAAGTCACACAAACTCAAAATATTATTCAAATACCGTTAATACCATAAGCATTAAGCATTATCCTATACCTTTAAACGAGCAATTCTTGTATATATATATATCGTAATCTCGGAAACGGCTCGATTTTCATAAAATTTAGTGTCCAGAGAGTTTCGAGGGCAATAAATCGATCTAGCTAGGATTTATTTTTAGAAAATGTCCCTTTGTCCGTGTTTTCATACAATAAAAAAACTGCTACAATATAAGAAGGTACATTTTGACAGGTTACTAACGATCATAATAGCTCAGATGGGATGTTGTTCGGGCGTGATATCGGAGTTCCGTGGTTCGCGTCCCGTTTTAAGTCCGACTTTTTTTCCTTTTTTTTTCAAGTTCCCTTCTTTTGTGAGAAAATCTATTATTTCGCGCCTTTTTTTTTAGTATTTTTAAAAATACGAAAATTTTAAATAATCTAATTGCACTCATGATTTTTTTATTCAAATAACCAGTTCAGTTTTTTCTATTATGTCAATAAGATCAAAAACTATTATTCATGTAATTTGTATATAAATGTAACTTAAAAAAAACCGAGCAAAGCTCGGTCATCCGGGTACTTAAAAATAAAACTGAGAATTTAGAACATTTAAATAATTTCCACATAGCTGATTAAAATTATAACAGATTTAAAGCATATTAGCAAACTTTAAAAAAAGAACGTTCGCAATTTGACCGTAAGTTCTTAACTTTGTATGTATGTTACTACGAGGATCGGTGTCGCCGGGAGCACACATACAAGCAATTACGTCGTATTATCACTACTACAGTCCCAACAAAGAAAGAAAAAGCTTTTTTTGGCAGACGATTGATTGTGTTGACATTCATAGGCGTGAATTGACATGTTAGTTACATGTTAGTCAGGCTACACGGGCTTCGACCACTCCCCGGTTCTATTATGTATGTATACTTAAACCAACGAGTCTGGCAAACAACATACAACAAAAAAAAAAAGAAAAAAACGCACAAGAACTATAATATTCTATGATGTTACACAATATTTTTAATAATTATGAACCGATTTTGATGATTGTTTTTCTATCAAATAGACGTTTGACTTCGGTGGTCCCACATAAATTTGGAGATAGAACTCAACCACAAAGCAGGGAAAATACTCGTATAGGGAATAAGTCTTTAATGTACCTATTTAGACCAAATTCAAGTCCTTACGAGAAATTGTGTATTCCTCAGTCTATTCAAATGGGTCAAAATTCAACTTTTAATAAAAAGAATTGAATATTGCGTAACATACATACAAAACAAAGAACATGCAATCGAATCAAGAAACTCCCCCTTTTTTGGAGTCTGCTAAAATATCTGTAATAATTTTTAATCCTAATGTTTGGAGACTTAGACTTAGTTAGGGGTTTTATGGCATTTTCCATCACTTTTGCCAGAACTTCAGGTGAAAGGTTCGCGCATTCATGTAGGATGTTGTCCTTGAGGGCTTCCATAGTTCCAAGCGCTTCCAAAAAGAAGTCTGGTACGGTCTAATTGGGCGATCTTGGCGGCCAGTGCAAATCGTAAAAACGAGAGATTATGCGACTCGGAAATGCCTGCTTCAAAATTTCGGTTGTATATCGGGCAGTGTGCGTCGTTATACTGTCCTGTTGAAACCACATGTCCTTCAGTCCTAGTTCATCCAATTGAGGAAGAAGAAACTCGTTGATCATAGCTCGGTAGCCGTCGCCGTTCAGAGTAAGGCGTCCTCAAAAAATAAATGGCCCGATGATTCCTCCAGCGTAAACAGCGCATCACGCCGTAACCTAGAGTTGTAATGGCTATTCGTGGATCACATGTAGATTTTCGGTACCCCGGAAGCGATAATGATGGCAATTCACGTAGCCGTTGAGGTGGAAATGAGTTTCATTGATCATGATATATTTCTATAAAATTCGTTATCTTATTGCTCAAGGTTCGGGATGGCTTGAGCACAGATTACGCGCGTTTGGTGGTCAACAGTTAATTAGCTTATACAGCTGAATATATATAGCTGAACTTCGTAAGGGAACATCTTCAGGTCTTTCACCAAAATTCGTCGTAGGGACCGCGTGCTAAGACACAATTGCGTGACACGTCGTCTGGTCGATGTTCCGGAGTCCATTTCGACATTTTTGGTTACCGCGGCGTATTCTCAGCAGAACGGCTAGTCCAAGGTAGACTACGAAGAGAATCTCGTGTTTTCAAAGTCTCTTCAATGTGGGCGACCAAACGCAGCGGTGTTTGTCCAGCTGGTGTCGGACGACGGGAAATCTGCGACGAAATTCACGCTGTGCCAACACCACAGACGATTTATTGCGCAAAAATATGGAAATAATTATTCCTTGTTCTTGAGAAGTATGGCGATCTATGGGTTGTCGACATGTATTTTACATCTGTTTACTTCAAATATGTCAAAACTCAAAACCGATTCGAAATTTGACGCCATTTGCAAAAATTATAGCGTCTTCCAATAGGGTATTTATATTTGAGCATAGAAAGCTTAATCTTCCGTTACCTATACTTAAAATTTACTTTTAAAATCGTAATTTCATCTAGTAAACATTTTCCCAGCTCCAACTTTTAATATTTACTCCAAATTTTAATAATAAAGTTAGTTAATTTGTAACCATACTGAAATGCATTACATTAAAACACAAAGTTATTAGGTAATAGTCTGGTTTTCTAACTTGTATATATGCACACCTTGCTTTTAGTTATGGGGGCCAATAAAAAACTCTCTCTTTACCAAGTACCTGGCTTACCAAATATTACCAGGCGTTAGAAAAAATTATCATCTCAGGGATATCATTTTCCTTGATAAATTTGGAAATTAACATCACCTATTGATGATAAAAATTATTTTCAGTAAAATATATTAATCTAACAGTTTCGACCAAAGCTTTAACCTCATTGTTTCCCAGTTGTGGGGTCGTGTGAGCTAGAATACTAAAGAACAAAAGAACTTAGAAAGTCTGATCAGATCGTAGGATTCGAGCTTGAGCGTGGCAGATTACACAAAATATTGGGATATCGAAAAGATAATGATTGTGACGATATCTAAAGAGAAGTTTGTTTCTTTGCGCATGAAAAAGAGAAAACGAGTTTTTCTAAAAATATGATCTAGCTAGATCGAGTTTTCACCTCCGTAAACCTCCTGAGAACTTTATTTGAAAAGGGTATACTATTTCGTGTATTATGTTATTTTCGCTGTGTGGTAACAATACAAAATAATTAATTAGTCTATGGGTCTTTCATAAAATATGTTATTTCAGAGTGAAACTTTACACGTCAGTCAAAACGCATTGACACAGTGTGGTGGAAATAATTACCCAATATAGAGAGGAAGTTTGTGGCTAGCATGCATTATAATATATATTTTATTATATATGTATTAAACTGTTGTAAAAATATATTAAATAAATAATTTCCACTAAATTTCAGGTGCCAATAAACCAGCTGTAGTGGTTGTTCGTGTCGGTAACAATCGTCCAGATCTCGGAACAAATCCAATCTGCAACAGATTTACGGGTTTTTTAGAGGAGGGCCAGCCTCTTTTCCTTCCCTGCAATCCTCCAATGCCTGGAGCATTTGTCAGTGTCCACTTAGAAGCTACAAGTCCGAGTCAGTTGTCTATTTGTGAAGCATTCGTATATACAGATCAAGCATTACCGATAGAGAGGTGTCCACAGTTCCGTGACCAGCCTCCGGGCAGTACTGCGACTTATAATGGAAAATGCTACATATTTTACGATCGCCAGCCATCAAACTTCCGGGACTCTCTCGCATTCTGTCGGTCTAGAGGAGGAACGCTAGTGGATGAGAGTAATCCCGCGCTGCAAGGATTCATCAGCTGGGAGCTTTGGCGCAGACATCGGTAAGTGTATTTACTTTATATCTCTCAAGTATAAATAAAATATTGAATATACAATATATTTACACCAAATTATACTGATCTTTCACAAAACAAAAATCTATAATTTAAATAATTGTCTGTTTCAATAATGTATCACGACTCTCTAACATGCTGGCGAACATATAATGCGTGTAGTTTATATATTAGTGGCTGATGCGAAATTGATGTTTAAATGAATAATCGTAGCGAATTGTCTCCAGGCCTTGTGTAACGCTTTATGGATCTTAATCTCCGTATGAAAAACAAGGGTTTAATTCTGTAGACTTATGAAACATAGAAGAAATATCTTGTGTGCCAAAAATCATCACAGTCAATATCTTATAAAAATAAATATATCATATTGATTTCTTTAAAATTTTGAAAGCGATCACATAATTCGTGTTTAAGGCTTTAAGTAGCTATATTATTCGGATAAGTATTTTTAAATATGTAAAGGTACTCTCGGTGTCAAATAAGCAAGGAAGGTAACTGGATCAGTTGCAGTAATGCAAAACAGTTACCCAATAAAAATGCCGCATAGTACATACGCCTTTTTTACCCGAACTCTCCATTACAGATCCGCTACGCGTAGTAGAGCGTTGTTACTGGTTGTTATTGCAGCCAATTTTATTGAGTACCGCTCATCTTAACGCCGTTGCGTACTATTCATTCCGTTAGTGAGATTAGATGTAGTCAAAGAACGGTATTATGACATACAGTATTATATTTAATAGCAACATTTAATTTGAACTATCAAACACATTTCTTTTTCACGGTTCTTTGAGCTGTAACAGCTCAGATGCCAAAGTGCGCGCTGTCCATATCACAGTATTCGAGCAATTCGGGTTCGATCACCGTCGGCACCAAAGGCACTTTTAATTGTAATTTTAAGTGATGATTTACTCCATATTCGGCGGCAAACATCAAAACATCGTGAGGAAACCTGCATGTCTGAGATAATGTTGCCCAAAATCGGTATTGGTCTTGCAGTCTTCGTCTTGTTCTTGCATTTTTGCAAGACCAAGACCAAGAACAAGACCGCCTAATTTTAGCAAGACCAGGACCAAGAATGACCGTGCAAGATTTGAGCAAGAACAAGACTAAGCCTGCGAGACTCTTGCGTCTTGCAGTTAGGAATGAGTGTCGTTTCGGGGAGTATAGGAGTTCAGGTATACGCTTAGGGACTCTATGAGACGCAAAAAATATATTAAAAAAATTTGGAAAATTGAACTTATGCGCATTACGAACAATACCATAAACATGCATAGCGGATGAAAATATCCATTAAAAAGAAAAAACAGTGCATCCCTAGTTTTGACTATCAGCACTTTGATAGTGCGCGGCGTCTTGTTGTCGGCATCATCAAAGGTCGGATACTGACCTGTCAAAGAAATTTTGCAGCTATTCGGAAGTACAAGGTCAAGATACACGCGCCGGCGGCTTCTATTGATATCGCATTCAATCGTCGCCGCCGCGCCGCACGCACTACATTTGACACTGTTTGAATGCCGCCACAGAGTACATGTTCCAAAAAATAAAATAAGTTCCAGGGTGCTCAGAATGGACACGAATACATTATGCTGATCTCGCAAGGAATATTGTAATTAGATAATGGTAAGGATAGGTAGATACCATAATAATTTCGTAATCGTAATACTATAACAAAGTGTTCGAATATGTCGTCACCCATTTGATAAATATTGTAGACACTTTTAACACACTTGAAACGTGTAAACATTTTGTACAATGCTAATCGAATAATATAAAAAGTGTGCATATTAAATAAAAAGCGTAAAATAAGATCTATGTACTTTTTAGGAGCCCGAGTATCTCTTAGAGAACCGTTTAAAGAAATTAATTGCATCGAATTAATGTAAATAATAGTGAGTGAGTGAGTGAGTGAAGACAAATTTAATTTAATTAACATAGAGAAAACAGAGGATTTTCTGTGCTTTTTTGGATCTGGAGAAAGCATTTGATAAGGTTATAAGGAAGAAAATGTGGGAACTGTTGCCGGGATATGGTGTGGATGGTCGATTGCTAAGGGCTGTGCAGTCACTTTACTATGACTGTAAAGCCTGTGTGCGGGTAGGGCATGACCTGTCACCCATGTTTAGCGTCCAAGTGGGCGTAAAACAGGGTTGTGTCATGTCTTCCTGGCTGTTCATACTGTATCTCGACAGCTGTTTACAGAAGTTTGGGTGTGAAATTGGGTGACATTAAAGTAAATTGTCTGCTGTATGCTGATGATGCAGTGCTTATTGCACCATCAGAAGCAGAACTGCAGGCATTAGTCACGTGTATGAAAGAGGAATGTGAAATTAAAGGTCTCCGTTTGAATGCTAATAAAACTAAGGTTCTGGTATTTGAAAAGGACGAAGAGAGAACGAAATGTGAAATATGGGTAAATCAGGAAAGTCTAGAACATGTAAATGAAATTGTATACTTGGGGAGTGCTTTCAGCCGGCATGGAAGATGTGATTTAGATGTGGATAGGCGCGTCGCTGCCGGAAACAAAGTCAATGGTGCCCTGAATGCATTAGTCAAAAGGCAAGGCGTGGTGAAGATTGCACGCCTTGCAATACATAACGCAGTGTTGGTACCGACTTTGTTATATGGCAGCGAAACGTGGGTATGCCAGAAGAAGCATAAAAGCAAGTTGAATGCAGTGGAGATGCGATCTCTTCGTAAAATGTGTGGCGTTACCATAGCCGATCGAAAGGGAAACGAAGAGATTGGCAATATGGCAGGATTGAAAGATGACCTTATCACAAAAATTGATAGGGGCGTACTCCAATGGTTTGGGCACGTTGAGCGAATGAGTGAAGACCGAATGGTGAAGAAAATATATAGAGCGAAAGTAAATATTAAAAGGTGTCGAGGTAGACCGAGACTAACTTTCGAAGACCATGTGAGCAAATTGCTCGAAGAGGGGAAGGTCAAGAGTACTCGGATACCTAGACGTGCATGTATGAAGAAGTTAATGAACCTGAAAGAAGCGAAAGAAGTATGTAAAGATCGTGACACTTGGCGATCTGTTCTCTCTGGCTACCCCGTTAGGGATTGTGCGTGAAGATAAGTAAGTAAGTAAATAAGTAATTAACTTAGATTAATTCAATCACAAGAAGAACACAATATACATAATTTTATTTACATATTTACATTTCATTTTTACGTAGGCACACTATACCTATCTGGCAACGCATCTTCTTTATTAATCTTCTGAAGAATCATTAATTTTATTCAAAGGATGCCGAACTTTCCTTTGTCGGTCTTTCGGCGTGTATTTACAAATAGTAGTATTTATTTTAATTCCAATCATTCCCAACTGAGCTTTGGTTCGAGTCTAATGTATTAATTGTTTTTACTCTAATCCTTGTTGTTCTCGGAGTGATAAGTTTACAATTTGACATGAGTGACGAAGAGTCGAATAGTTCTAGTCGGAGTAGTGAGAGTTGGAGTTATAGATCTAAAATACCTAAAAGTAAATTTGATGACTTTTTCGACATAATTCATGCATCCCAAATTGCTTTGTGTAAATTATGCCAACATAAAAAGATGGAAATAAAAATGAAAAAAAGAAACACTTCAGGCTTAAGGAAGCATCTAATATCTTTCCACAAAAAGGAATCACATATTTCTTCCTGAAAAACCAAAATTAAGTAGAGATATCACAAGCTTTTTAATAACCACCGGAAAAAGTGGACAGGTAAGAAAAAATATACTTATGACACAATTACATAACACATATATTATGTAACTAGCGGCCGCCTGCGACTTCGTCCGCATACAATATCTGATTTGCTATGAGATTTTGAAATTTTCTCGTTGCAAAAGTCTTACCTAAGTATAAAAAGGCTATATAGGTAAAGCTTAACTATGCAAGTATTTATTATTTAAAAGTAATAAAGTAAATGTCGATCTTCATATCTATACTTTAAAAATATAGGACTTGCATGTAACCATTTTACCCCAATTTCACCCCCTTAGGGTTAGGATTTCGTAAAACAGCTTATTCAGGATTTTATTATTGAAAACTTATAACTTTGATGCCGATTTTCGTGTCTCTAATTTCAAAAACGTAGGACACACAAACTTCCAACTCCCATTTCACTCCCTTAGGGATAAATTTTCTCAAAACCGTTTCTTAACTGATCTCTATGCCATAAAAGGAATCTACCTTACAAACTTCAAGTTTGTATGTTTAATATTTCCTAAGATGTCGTTATAGTCAGTCAGTGAGTGGTTGTTATATATATATATAGATTATATTGTTAAATATGTATTTATAATTCACTCATATTTTCATTTGTTTTTATAATTGGCGAGCCATATGATTTACTGTTTTATTTCAGTCTGAAAATAGCAGCTACAGTTGATTGGATGGTTAAAAAATATCTTCCCTTCTCATTTTTCGATGACGAAGCTACACAAATATATGTTCGATCAATTTACCCAAATATGATGTTTCCTAAAAGGTCCACACTTAGAAGGAAGGTCAAAGAACGGTTTGAAGAGCTTCAATTGCATCTTAAGAAACGACTACAACTATTTTCGTCTAAAATGTCATTTACCATTGATGGATGAACGTCAATTGCTGGTAGCAGTTACTACGGGGTCACTATTCATTATATAGACAACGACTGGAAGTATTGATCTGTAGTCCTTGATTTTATACCATCACGCGGTCGACATACTGGGGAAGATATTGCAACGATTTTGAGATATTGCAAATACCAAATTTATGTATGAATTGGACAAACAGCTGCCACACTTTGATTCAGACAATCAACATTTCCGGTGCTTTGCTCACATTTTGAATCTTGGTGTACAAGATTTATTAAAGACCTTAGCATTACACAGTGAAACTGACAATAAGGGACAAGAACAGCAGTATGAAGATAATGAAGACGAAACTGAGAAAGATGAAGAATATGCGCCAAATATTGCTGACTCATGTACAGCTATAACAAAATTACGCA